TAGCAAGGCGATGTTGAATAACCCTTGACAGGACCTTTCCCGGCACACTGAGGAGTGAGATGCCCCTGTAGTTGTTACAGTCTGTGCGGTCCCCCTTCTTAAAGAGGGGGACTACCAGGACATCCTTCAAATCCTGCAGAACCCGTCCAGTGGTCCAGACTGCTGTTATGATGTCATATAGGGCAGTCTGTGCACAAACACCACCCTCCCTCAGCATTTCGCTTGGCAGATCATCTCTGCCCGGTGCTTTTCCTGGTCTCAGACTCTGGATCGCCTTCAGTACTTCCTCAATAGATGGCACCTCAGCCAGCCACTCACAGGGGGTGACTTCTTCCAATATTTGAGTCACTGCAGCCTCAGCAGGGTCATCCCCACTTTGTGCCATGATGTTTTCCTGGCTGAGGGATTTCCCCTTCCCCAGGACCTCAAAGAAATGCTCATCAAATCTGCAAACCTGTTCCTGGGGGTCGGAGATTGGATCACCGTTTTTTCCCCTAATGATAGTAATCGGTGTGGCGCTGCAGGTTACTTTTTTTATGGAGTTAAATAGTGATTTGTGATCGTGGGCCACTGAGGCAGACTCCATCTCCTCAGCAACCCGCGACCACCACCCATCCTTGCAGTCACTTACGGCTCTCCGAACCTCCGAGTGAAGGCTGCTGTAAGCCTCCTCATTCTCTGACGTGGGATGCTGTAGCCGATGAGAGTGGGCCTGTCGCTATTTCTAAACTATCCTGAACACCTCCTCTGTCAGACAGGGTCTCTAGGGAGGTCTGGACCGCGTACCCAAAGCAGCCATTGCAGCTGCATGAGTCACAGTCCTAAACCTCGCCCATTTACCCTCGACATCAGGAATGGGGGACGTTGCCAACCCCAGCCGCAAGCGATGATGAAATTCTCGCTTGCAACTTTCATCAGCTGAGACCAGGCCAATTTTGGTTGGAATGGGGTCCTGGGTGTACACCCACCACCGGAGTGGAAGAATGGCAGGCACATCTTACAGATGACTAGTTGATGGTCAGAGGGCAGATCAGCTCCACGGTAGGTCCTGGTGTCAAGGACATGGGCTCGCATCCGCTGGTTCATCACTATGTAGTCCAGCAGATGTTGTTGCTTGGACCCGGCATGCATCCATGATGTTGTGTGGATGCGCCGATGCCGGAAGAGCATGTAGTTAATTACAAGCCCATGGGCTGCACAAAAATCTAGCAGCCTCCTTCCAGTTATTATTGAGCTGATCTGGCCCATGCCCTCCAATCACTCCAGACCAGGTGCCAGTATCATGACCAACTCGGGCATTGAAGTCACCCAACAAGATGACTCTATCCCGAGTGGCCACTTTAGCCAGCACCTATGACAGGTCATAGAAGGCATCTGACTCATCGGCTTTGCCTGCATCCCTCCACGGATGTTCGTCTTCGGTGGGGGCATAAGTAACCACGACCACCACTCCTCGCCTCCGGTTGATGGGAAGGTGAGCCCAAAGTAGCCTGGGGTTTACAACTTCCCATACCTCACCGCCACGCTCCCATGCCCCCTTCATTATTTTGTTCAGAAGAAGAGCCACACCCTGTTGTTTGGCAGTCTCCTGCCCCGAGTAGAGGACTGTCCACCTCTCATGGTGGCAGGAGCCAGAACCGGTCCACCGGACGTCCTGAATGCCACAGAGATCGAGGCGGTACCGGTCCAGCTCCTGACAGAGGAGTGGCAGCCTCTCCTCCGCAGTGAGCGTTCGAACATTCCACGTGGCCACACGAAGTGGTTTTTCGTTGTTTCTGGAGGAGCCCCGAGGGTAAAGATTCAATCTCCTGGCTATGCCAATTGGGGGTTGGCCACGAGACATCATAGACGCCTATCCCCCCGGGGCATCCGGCACAAGCTTATTAGTTACATATTTAATTTCTGGTTTCGTGGTAATTCATTGAATGTGGAGGGGTTACCAGCTCCTCGCACCCGTCCAGAGCCCCCGTTTAGCCACTGTGGTAGTCACAGACACCATGAGGGGAGAGGCCAATCGACATTGGCCCATCCCCCACAGCACTGTCTACGACAGAATTGCCCGTCCGGAACCACGAGGAGGTAGGGGGTTGTTTTGCCGGACGTCGACTAACACACATAGCGACTGATACACACACATGGACCGAGACGCACACTTGGACTAACACACACAAACACATCGACGTAAACACAGACACATTGGGCGTTGTCCGTTCTAAAAAGACACACGCATGGACTTACACATAGATGCATGGACCTACACGCACACACATATGGACTCAAACACGCACATCGACTCACACACACACACAGATCGACGTGCACAGCAATCCCCGATGGTGGCACAGCTATCAGCATCGCAGTACTACTTATCAGTACACTGTGGGACGTGAACAATCGAAATAATAGAAATGCATAGAAGAAAAAAATATGAAATAAGTGTACATGAAATAGCAGCAGTACGCACAGGTAAGTTGAGAAGCAGGCTAGTCTAGATTATACACTGCAAGTATGCCGACTCAATGACGTAAGCATTGCTCCAGTGGATATAAAAATCTGGCAATACAGGCAGCAGCTGAAAAAGCAGAATACAGTCGACATGAAAGGCTGGCAGTACAGTGAGCTCGACCGAACGCGCATGACTTGGCAGGGTCGCCCCCCCCCCCCCACCCAATTGGTGTGAGTTGGTACGGCCGATGTCGCGCAATAAATAACTAAATATAGCCTTTTAATACAATGTAAGCACTGTAATAATATTAATATCTAAGGACTTTATAGCAGTAACTGCACGCATCGTGTTGGTGGGGGGGGGGGTCGAAGAGGACATCACACTGTGAAGAATTAGCCGCAGCGTTGTGTATATTTATTGCATGAGGGTCTGCCCCCCCCGCCCACGCAATTGGCGTGAGTTGGTACGGTCGATGTCGCGCAAAAAATAAATATGTCGAAACCCCACAAACTCGCTAATTTAATTAATTTAAAGGTGACGGACGTGACCGGCAATTTTTTTTCGACGTGAAACCCGCCGTCCGAGAGCCAAATCCCTCGCAAGCGCACGCGCGGAGACTTTTATGTATAAGAAGAAAGAAAAGAAGAAAGAAAGAAAAAAGATTGTATCTTTCTATCTACGTGACTTTACCAAGAGAACCAGGGAATATGAATTCTGGCAATCACGAAAGCTTAAGTCTAAACTAAGCTATCTGGATATCGAAATATAACTCGAGAATAAAACACCGATCCCTGGTGACATGAACTGAGAACACAGCTTAGCAAAACCGTCGGAATAGTGGTGGTAACGAGGGGCATTACGAATCTTGGTTGAACATAAACTAAATAATAACCACGAGATATTAGACCGGGGGTAACTCATAAGGGATACAAGAAAAATAGGTAAAATACACAAGACCAGATAATATGTATTCCACGGAATCAGAGCCTCCCCGGCCACCTTTGTCTTCCAACAATTTGACAACACATGGTAGCCATAAAATACGTATGAAGAGTGCATCTCCTCCCTTTTAGCAGACACCACGAAGAAAGGGGGGGGAGAATGCAAACAAAAACATAAACAGTCAGTCAAAGGTCAAAAAGGGGGGGGGGGCAACCAGGCGGCCACGGGAGGGGAGAGAATTTCACATATAACCAAAGACACAGATCATGCAAGAGAGTACTGCGACGGGCAGACTCCGGGGCATGGCCTCGAGATCAACAATGGGTGTTGTGTCTCACAGAGAAGAGGGGCGAGGTGATGTGAGGTGCCGAGTTCGGCATGGACCGACAGAGTATCGCTGAAAGTTTTATTCGACAGTTATCCTGATGTTTTGAGTCACTTGCAGAGTCAAGGATTGCGATAACTTGTATTGTACAGTACTAAGCTTTCACAGTTGTGTAAGAGGTGTGCAAATACACATTTATAAGTTTTGAAAGTGAGTGCCAACTCCCACGAGCAGCTGCAGCCCGAGAGAACGAGTGACGAGCAACGTCAAGTAATCAACCTCGAAGAAGGGCGGAAAGAGCCAAGCATCGACCAAGCCAGCAGTGCTGCGATCGGCAGGCTCCGGGAACCTGCCCCCGTGGCTGGCACATCGTCAACGAGCTGCATCAGCAGAAGTCACGAGTATACGAAGTCAACGCAAAGAGTCTACTACTGCAAGCGACAGAAGATTACTGCAAGCAACAAGCTCCGGGGTGGGTCCTGCAATCGACCAAGGATGGCGAGGCTTGCCGAGTAGCGATGTGTCACCGAGTACGAGTCCGGCGCTGACAGAAAAAGTATCCCTCAAAGTTATTCTACACTGAGTGCCAGCTCCCGACCCTAGACAACAAGACAGAGCCTAATTATCATAACTGCACACATTAGCATAATCGCATACATTTTCATAATTCAATACAATTACACATCAATAATTAGCATAAATTATGTGCACAATTAAATAAATTTGGATAATTACATATTTCCCAATTTTCATTCTATTTTAATTTTTATTAATTTTTAAGACCCGACATATACAAGTGTGTAGATTCGTAACAAAGATGCTTATAAATTTCGATTTAAAGCTTTCGTGACTGCAGGGATTCATCTTCTGGGTTCTTTCGGTAAAGTCACGTAGAAGGGAAATAATAAAATAATAAAAATAAAACATAATAAAATATAATTCTCACGATGTTTCAGCCACAACGCAAGCAGCCGTCCTCAGGTGAAGAACAGGGCTGTCGGAAAGATACGTGACTTTACCGAAAGAACCAAGAAGATGCTTATAAATGTTTAGTGTTTCATTGCCAAGGTTATGCAATGAATGAAAACATATGACTAAAATATTTCTAAACGACCGTATTCATGTATCTCAAGGGACAGAACAATGCTTTTCACGATCAACTAATAGTTAAGCGCAACCCTTTTTGAAACAAAGATAACTTTTTGGAACAATCTTATTAGTACCAATATGCGTGTTGTGGGTGTGTTGTCATCTTCTTGCGAAAAAACAACCCCCTACCTCCTCGTGGTGCTGGCAACGCTGTGGTGGGCAGTGCCGTGGGGGGGAGGGCCAATTTAGATTGGCCTTTCCCCTCATGGCGTTTGTAACCAGTTGTCTGTATGACTCGCGTTGCAGAGAACACACGCTACAGATCGAGTTCTATCGTTCCATGTCAGTCTCTGATCCGACCCTCAATTAAACTTCGCCTGTGGGTTGCGATTTAAAGGGGCACTCTCACAAATAGTGGTTGCACCAGTTTTCCCTCGAAGGTTTGACTTTGATCAGAGCACAATCGGAACGATTGTCACTCTATGATCGTGTTGGCCGTCCACAGCGACCTCGTCACCGGGAATAGTAATGCTACGGCACTCTTCCCCACATTTGTATTGTAATACTGCGAGCACCAGCCTTGGCTGGCAGTCTCTCTCAATAAAAAAAACTCTGATGCGCGGCTTCTGCTGATGCAGAGCTCCCTATCAATTTGCCAGTCATGAGGGCAATCCCTGGAGCCTGACTCACAGTACTTCTTCTTTTGTGTGGCATTGTGAAAAGCAAGTTTTTCTTTTTAATGATCGTCATAAAGGAATGCAAATCTAGTGAGTCCAACTGAGTCGCAGATGTTGTTCTTTAGAGGCAACACATTTATTGTAACATCAACACGTAACACAAAAGGGGTAACTGCCCCTTTACCAGATACACCTCGGGTGGTGACCACCCAGCTAACTACCCTATACGCAGGAGTTACAACTACAAAGGGTCTGACCCTCACTCGGGTCCCGACCACGTAGAGCTTCCAGCTTGTAGGACGTGGATGTTGCAGCATGTAGAATGTAGCGACCCAGGTCCCTTTCAGAGTCCCACCTTATATCCTCCCGGGTCAGGGCCAGCTCCGTCCTCGGCCTCGCCTGCCTTCTCGAGCGTTCTAGTGCCCTATCGATCCCCCTCGAGAGCTCTCCCCAGACACGTGATCACCCCCTAGCCCCCCCCACCTGGGGGCCTCTATGGACACACCGGATCACGTGCCTACGGGGTCAACCAGAGTGCCATGGCCCAGGGCAACCCTGCCCCTGGGCTGACACTCTCCCACTCCCCCTTGTGGGGACCCGCACTACACGCTCTGCGTGGTGCCCGCGCTATCCCAGCGCACACCAAGCCCCATAGGGCTGGTACTACACCCGCCTACGGGGTGTACGCGATGATGGTGCATCGCACGCTGTGCTGTGCTAGACCTGGCATCACACAGCAAACCCTCCCAGTGCTGTCCGCGATGTAAGGACATCGCACAGTGACATCCCCGATGTCACTACACAAAGGTTCCTCATCCAGACCGCCAAGATGTGCATGGATGGAGCATTCATAGGTGATGTGCTTAATGGTTTGGACTTCTCCACAGTTGCAGTTGGCCGATTCTTTGAGAAGTACTGATTTCTGTTCTTGCTAATATCTGAATTTTTCCACCTCGGGCTTTTTCTTCTCACAAAGGGGCAGCTGTTTTCCTTTTGAAGTCGCGTGAGCTGTTTGTTGTCTGGATGTCTTCATTACCGCCACGTTTCTGTGCAAGTTTTGGGCAGCGTTCCCCACGGTCCCACCACGGGTTGGAAGTGTTAAATTTTTTTCGCATCAGACTTGCAGTCTCTCTCAAAGGGGCGCTGTGGCGTTTGAAGTCGTGACCTATTGTGCACGGGTGTGCTTGCTGTCGCCATGTATTCCGTCTTCTCATCAAGGGTTGGAAGTAAACACAATATATTTTACACCTCTTACAGATTGGTACCGTACCACTTTCCGCAGTTTTGTATCTCTTTTGAATGACTCGAGGTCTAATACGTTCATAATTACTATTTGGTTCATGTGTAACCAAGATTTGTGGACAACCATAGTTGTTACCAAAGATTTTCCGAGGATTTTATTAAACTTTTCCCAGTCTGTATCACCAGAGAACCGTGCTTATTATTCTCAAATTATATTTTTATATCCTGAGGTTAAAGCTAGAGCTAAGCTTCGAACTTTACTGTTGTATTTTTAAAACCCAACAGCTCATAATGATTAACTGCCCTTGGTGGATTTTGCTGTCCAAGGGAGGTTGGTGACCCCTGCTGTTTCCGTCTTGTGTTTGTTTTATTGTCCATCGTTTCCTTTATGGCAGCCTTCTCTTGAAGTCAACTGGGGATTTCCAGCAGAATCTCATTAGCCCCCCTTGAGTTTGCCGTTTTTTATTACATTTTATGACTTCCCAAACGGGCTTGTGAGTAATTATCCTCCAGCTGTCTTTTGTGTGGCAAGGCAGGAGGCAGCAGCGCTACATCCCGATCAAAATTATTACAAAAAAATAGGCTGAATCACTCTTAATATACATTTTTGGAAAAGGCATAGACACAACATGCTCTTCGAGTGAGAATAGGTTTTCTCCTTTTTTCTGGAAACAGGTGTTGAGATGTTAAAACACGAAACTGAAATCTTTTGAAGAATCATGTCTGCATTAACCACAATACTTGTGGTCAGAATGCAAACAAAAAACATACTCTGATAATGTGCGTTGTCTTTGAAACTGATTGGTCCACACCAGAGACAGCTTTCTTTCGAGCCTAGTCTCAGTGTTAGACCAGAGGACGCCAAAAGGCGAAGGAGGTCCCATGATATAACAATTTAGTACAATTAATTATTATATTACTATGCTGAGCGCGCCAAAGCACACATCTGCACATGCGCGATACAGCTGACCCGTGGTTGCCCCTAACAATGCACAAGGCATATATACAACATGCTCTTCGAGTGAGAATAGGTTGTCCCCTTTTTTATGGCAACAAATCAGGTGTTGAGATGTTAAAACACCAAACTGAACCTTTTACAAGGAATCTTGTCTGCATCAACCACAATACTTGGGGTCAGAATGCAAACAAAAAACACTGATAATATATGCATTGTCTTTGAAACTGATTGGTCCACACCAGAGACAGCTTTCTTTCAATACTAGTATCAAACCGTGTTAGACCAGAGGATGCCAAAAGGCGTGCTCTTCGAGTGTTTGTGATGAGATATGATACAAAACTCCGAGTTGCTGAGGCGATTAAGCAAGCACCATATGAATGCTAATATTATTATAACATAGTGAATGGTTGGGAGCTTTTTGGCTCTCGCTCCTAGTTACAGATCTACCCAACCCACAGGTCCGCAAATACTGGCCGCTCTTACTCTGCAAGTTGAACCTAGGAATTGGCTGTTCAACTTCACATTCTTTCATTAAAGGCCTTTGACAAAGGCAAATCTAATGGAGCTTCATTGTCTCAAGCTTACACATCTAGAGGGTCTCTATTTGGCTTTGTATTGTCTAAGAAGTCTACCCACACCTCCACTTCCACAAACTGCTGGGAGTTGCTTCGCTCTGCCTCACAGTCAGAATTCTCCTCCTGCTTCACGTTGCCTCCATCGATGTGAAGGTCCGATTTTAGAGTTGAATCTTCATCTTCACATTTCACCTTCACTTCTTCGCTCTTCACTGTCGCCTCTTCAAAATCCACCTTGATACATTTCATAGTCTCCAAGCTGGAATTCACTTCTGGTTCTTTTTTCAGGAGGGATGGGCTCATTGCAGTACTTTGACTTTCACAAGTCGATTTCAGACTACACTCCTTGGGGATCTTCTGATGCCTGTGTGTTCTCTGGTGTCTATGAAGATGTGGTGACTGTGCAAATGCCTTCCCACATACACTGCACTTGAAGGGTTTCTCTCCTGTGTGTGTTCTCTGGTGGATCTGAAGACCTGATGATTGAGCAAATGCCTTCTCACACACAGTGCACTTGAAATGTTTATTTTCGGTGTGTGTTCTCTGATGTATGTTAAGATGTGATGACTGTGCAAATGCCTTCTCACAGACAGTGCACTTGAAAGGTTTCTCTCCTGTGTGTGTTCTCTGGTGTTCTTTAAGATGTGATGACTCTGCAAAGGGCTTTCCGCACAGAGTGCACCTGAAGGGTTTCTCTCCCGTGTGTGTTCTCTGGTGTCTTTTAAGGGCAGATGAATATGAAAATGTCTTGCCACACACACTACACCTGAAGGGTGTCTCTCCTGTGTGTGTTCTCTGGTGTCTTTTAAGAACAGATGAATCTGAATATGCCTTCCCACACACACTACACCTGAAGGGTTTCTCGCCCGTGTGTGTTCTCCGGTGTTTTTGAAGAACTGATGACCATGAAAATGCCTTCTTACACACAGTGCACTTGAAGGGTTTCTCTCCTCTTTGAGTTCTCTGGTGCCATATCACACTTCCAGCACAATCCATGATGTTTGCATAATGGTCCCATTGTTGTCTTTTTGTACCGAGTTGCGCTGAGTGCCTTTGCTCCATCAGACCAATTCTGCTGAGGAAGCGTCAGAAGAAGCGTCAGCTGCAGACAGAAAAAAATATCCACACCATCTACGTCAGTATCAAGGCACAAAGGAATGAATATATATACAGTCACACATGACTTACACATCTGTATTTATTCATATATTCAAGATATTCCTCAATTCATCACACGGGCTGTTAGGGCACACAATGAGAGGGCAAATGGTTATAAATATGCCTGGAGGCACTAGTATCTTCAAAATAAATGTTAACCCAAAACACCAAACACAATTTCGGCAGCCTGGCTACAAAATGAATATTTGTAGTGAGTCCAAATGAGTTGCAGAAGTTTTCTTGGGAGCAACACTATTTATTCCAGCAACTTAAACATAACATCACACAATCTACACTCGGGTATTGAATGCCCATCTAGCCACGCTATGACAGGACTAGACACGGTTCGCTATCCCGGCATGGACCACAAGCTGGGTCCCGGAACGCGTGGCTAGAGGCTTCTTCTCCACGACGTGGATCTTCTTCACACCAGCACACGAAGAACCACGAGCCCCTCACGGGGCCCCGTTATATCCCCCTGGGCTGGGGCTGGCTCCGCCCTTTGCCCCGCCCACCTTCCAGATCTCTCCAGCTAGATTTGAAGCTTTCGTGATTGCAAGGATTCATATTCTTAGGTGTTTTCGGTAAAGTCACGTAGGTAAAACATTAAAATTAATAAAAGTAAAATAAAATAAAAATCACGACGTTTCGGAGGCAACACAAGTCTCCGTCATCAGGTGGAACCGTCACAGCCAGATTTGCTGCATCAAGTGAGGCAATGATTCAAGATGTAATCCCTTAAAAGCAAGTTGAGGGGGGAGGAGAGGGGGGGGGGGAGCTCATCAGAATGTGGTAGCCAATGAATGGAACGTATCGGGAGGGAGGGGGGCGGGGCTCAAAGACGGTACGAAGTGCCAAGTAGAAAGCATCGGGAGGGGGAGGGGGGGGCAAACGAATGCACGACGTGGTGCAAGAGAGCGTGGTTGTGCGCAAGCAACTACTGCTGCACACGCCAACGCATAGGACAGAGAGGGGGAGGAGGGGAGGCCAAAAGAGAGTTTGGGGTGTAAGTGTACGTGGACATGTGTGTGTACAAGCACCTGTTGATACACATGATAGAAAAGAACGAAAATGCCCATGTTTATACCAGTGCTGGCTGAACAATGAAGAGAGTACTGTTAAACACTGGGGATGTTAACACTCGGTAAAGTAAAGTAAAATAGTGCCTGTCAGATAAGATGGTCCAAAAATGTGTAATTAAGTCTTTTTTGCGTGGTTGATAACATCTTTCCAATGATTACTAGTTTGTACCCATCATCACGGTTGAAATTATGTCTGTGTTTGTATATTTGTATGGCCTCGTGTACAAACCTTTGATGGTAGCCAGGAAGGTTTGCAGAGAACCTTGGTCTCGGAAAAGACAATTTCATGAGAGCCCACCGAGTTGTAGCAATGATCGGCAACGGCAGAACTGATTCTTCGGCCGTTGCCGATCATTGCTACAACTCGGTGGGCTCTCATGAAATTGTCTTTTCCGAGACCAAGGTTCTCTGCAAACCTCCTGGCTACCATCAAAGGTTTGTACACGAGGCCATACAAATATACAAACACAGACATAATTTCAACCGTGATGATGGGTACAAACTTAGTAATCATTGGAAAGATGTTATCAACCACGCAAAAAAGACTTAATTACACATTTTTGGACCATCTTATCTGACAGGCACTATTTTACTTTACTTTACCGAGTGTTAACATCCCCAGTGTTTAACAGTACTCTCTTCATTGTTCAGCCAGCACTGGTATAAACATGGGCATTTTCGTTCTTTTCTATCATGTGTATCAACAGGTGCTTGTACACACACATGTCCACGTACACTTACACCCCAAACTCTCTTTTGGCCTCCCCTCCTCCCCCTCTCTGTCCTAAGCGTTGGCGTGTGCAGCAGTAGTTGCTTGCGTACAACCACGCTCTCTTGCACCATGTCGTGCATTCTTTTGGCCCCGCCCTCCCCTCCCGATGCTTTCTACTTGGCACTTCGTACCGTCTTTGAGCCCCGCCCCCCTCCCTCCCGATACGTTCCATTCATTGGCTACCACATTCTGATGAGCTCCCCCCCCCTCTCCTCCCCCCTCAACTTGCTTTTAAGGGATTACATCTTGAATCATTGCCTCACTTGATGCAGCCAATCTGGCTGTGACGGTTCCTCCTGATGACAGAGACTTGTGTTGCCTCCGAAACGTCGTGATTTTTATTTTACTTTTATTAATTTTAATGTTTTACCTACGTGACTTTACCGAAAACACCTAAGAATATCTCTCCAGCTCTTTCTCGAAGGCTCCCGAGAGCTCTTTTAGACCATGTGACTGCCTAGCGGCCCCCGTCCACCGGTGCCCCCCCTCCACTATCATACGGTCACGTGTCAGCAGGTCAACCAGCTTATCATGCCCCAACGTAACCCTGGCTGACACTCCCTCTCGCTCCCTCACCGGGAGCCCGCACCGCACACTGCTCGCGGTGCCTCCGCAGTGATCAGCGCTCCTCCGAGCCCCGCTAGGGCTGGAACTACGCACCGTAAGCGGGCTACACATAATGTAAACACATTATCCGCCGTGGCTTCGTAAGCCCGGCACCACAGTGACAATCACAGCCACTACATATTTATAAAAGCAAAATTCAGCAAACATAGCAAAGGCTGTTAAAATAATACTATTTGTATTCTGCAGAAATGCATAAATTAATGTTCAATCGCAACTTAGAGGTGTGAAGCCAGGCTCAAATTTGCTTGAATGAACAGATCAAACTTCAGCAGCAAAAATGCTGTGTTAATTTCCTGACTGTTTCCATTCTTACAAAAAGTTCCAGAGGAAAACTAAAATAAACTATTGTTTTGATTTAACCTCCGTGTTCAATAGTTAATATACTTCACTGCAAATACAAACTTGACACTGTCACACACTGGCATGGTAAAAAGATGTGGTGTGTCCAGAACCATGCCGGGCCACCTTCATCTGCTCAGTATTAATGCTTCCTCACTTCACCATGTAATTATTTTAAGATCAATCAACATAGCGGAGGCCCACAATAAGTTCAGCTTTCACTTATCAATCATGTTTGCTGTCGGCGATAATCAAACTAATTGTTGAGTTCATAATGCAGTAAAATAACAGTGCCACAGATCCCCAGGATAAACTCTCAAATACACATACATTTCACATGGATCATTTGACTCACGAACCGTGGGGTGAACGTTTTAAAAAGTACCTGGGAACCACGCCCCGTGGTGAGCCAGTGCTATTCGTATTTTGCGTCCGTCAACTTGAAAGTAGTTAAATTAACAACTTAGTATGAGAAGAGGTTTTCCCCTTTTTTCTGGCAACAAAACGGGTGTTAAGATGTTAAAACACCAAGCTGAAACCTTTTGCAAGGAATCATGTCTGCATTAACCACGTAAACTTGTGGTCAAAATGCAAAAAAAAACATGCTCTGATAGTATATGCATTGTCTTTGAAGCTGATTGGTCCACACCAGAGACAGCTTTCGTTCGAGCCTAGTCTCAAACAGTGTTAGACAGGAGGACGTCAAAAGGCGAAGGAGGTCCCATGATATAAAAATTTAGTAGTACTATTAATTATTATATTACTACGCTGAGCACGCACCAAAGCACACATCTGCGCATGCGCAAGACAGCTGACCCGTGGTTGCCCCTAGCAATGCACACATGCTAACGGTGGAGGGGGGCATTTTTCATTGGCGTTCAAAATGAAAATAAATACACAGGACTAAGGTAAAATTTTCACACTGTGATGTCCCCCCCCCACCCCAATGTGTGCAGTTACTACTATAGAATCGGTAGATGATATTACTATAGTCCATAGATAACTACTGTAACGCGGGCAGGGGGATGGCGGGAGAGGGGGAGGTGGGGTAACAGCCCAGCCCCAGCCTGCCAAGGTTTCACCTCGGCCGGCTAGGAAATCTCGGCGAGGCTGGGGGCTAGGCCTCACCACGGCACTGTTAAGTACTATATTATTGGTTCTTTAGTTAAAGTCACATAAATATAAAAAAAAATATGTGAATGAAAATAGAAATAGTAAAAATATAAAAACCAAAAAACACTAATGTAGACTACCCTGGTTCTTAATCGGAGTAAGTGTACAGGCAGTCTATAATGTAAACTATAGCAATGGTTATTAAGCTGGGTGAGTGTACTGGCAGTCTATAATGTATACTGTAGCATGTTTCTTAACCTCGGTGAGCGTACTGGCAGTCTATAATGGAGACTGTAGCAATGGTTATTAAGCTGGGTGAGTCTACTGGCAGTCCATAATGTAGACTGTAGCATGGTTCTTAACATCGGCGAGTGTACTGGCAGTCTATAATGTAGATTGTAGCTTGCTTAAGTTTGGTGAGTGTACTGGCAGTCTATAATGTAGACTGTCACAATGGTTATTAAGCTGGGTGAGTGCAATGGCAATCTATAATGTAGACTGTAGCATGGTTCTTAACCTCGGTGAGCGTACTGGCAGTTTATAACGTAGACTGTAGCAATGATTATTCAGTTGGGTGATTGTACTAGCAGTCTATAATGTAGACTGTAGCATGGTTCTTAACCTAGGTGAGTGTACTGGCAGTCTATAATGTAGACTGTAGCTTGCTTATTAAGTTTGGTGAGTGTACTGGCAGTCTATAATGTTGACTGTAGCAATGGTTATTAAGCTGGGTGAGTGTAATGGCAATCTATAATGTAGACTGTAGCATGGTTCTTAACCTCGGTGAGCGTACTGGCAGTTTATAACGTAGACTGTAGCAATGATTATTTAGTTGGGTGATTGTATTGGCAGTCTATAATGTAGACTGTAGCATGGTTCTTAACCTAGGTGAGTGTACTGGCAGTCTATAATGTAGACTGTAGCTTGCTTATTAAGTTTGGTGAGTGTACTGGCAGTCTATAATGTTGACTGTAGCAATGGTTATTAAGCTGGGTGAGTACTGGCAGTCTATAATGTAGACTGTAGAAATGGTTATTAAGCTGGGTGAGTGTACTGACAGTCTATAATGCAGACTGTAGCAATGGTTATTAAGCTGGGTGAGTGTACTAGCAGTCTATAATGTAGACTTATTATTGGTTCTTAATAACCATTTCTACAGTCTACGTTATAGACTGCCAGTACACTCACAAAATATTATAAGCAGGCTACAGTTAACATTAACGGTTATTTTTTTATTTACGTTATTATTCACTTTATTTTTATTATTATTTTCTATCTACATGACTTAATCGAAAGAAGCAAAGATTACTATTATAGAGTTAGTTACACTACTACTATTGCCAGTACACACTACTATAAAGTTAGTATAGCTACTACTACATCCAGTAGACACTGCTATAGAGTTAGTATAGCTACTACTACAGCCAATACGTACTGCTATAGTCAGTATAGCTATTACTACAGCCAGGGCATGCTACTGTAGTGATAGTAGCTACTACTACAGACAGCACATACTACTGTAGTGATAGTAGCTACTGCTACAGCCAGTACATACTACTGTAGTGATAGTAGTGCTATCGAGTCGGTAGATGCTACTGCAGTCATTAGAAACTACTGTAGAGTTACTATATACTACGTCAGTAGTTACTATAGAGTTGGTAGATACTACTGTAGAGTTGGTAGATACTGCTGCAGAGTCGGTAGAAGCTACTGTTATAGAGTAAGCAGATACTACTGTCGAGTTATTAGTTACTACTATAGTCAGTGGATACTACTATAGAGTCAATAGATATGACTATAGATGCAGTAGTTACTACTATACAGTCAATACATACGAGTATAGATTCAGTAGATATTACTATAGTCATATTCTTTGGGTCTTTCGGTAAAGCCACGTAGATAGGAAAATAATAAAAATAATAATCACAATTTCATGACGTTTCGATCGCAACACAAGCATTCATCATCAGATGAGAGCTGCTGAAGCAGGAAAAAATATATAGCGGGAGCGCTGCTAAGGCAGGGAGTTATAAAGGTTTGAGATGGGTGTAGCCCAAGGGTCAGTGGGCGGGGCTAGAGATGAAATTTGCATATAAATGTAAGATAGGAAAAATCTTGATAAACTAAGCTGTGGGGGTGGCCATTATATTGTGAGATATTTGCTTGTAAATGTAAGCTAAAGAGAGCTCGGAAAGGATCATCACCACATGGAGGTGGAAAAGGATGGCAAGCTGGAATTTACTAACACGGCTAATGGTGGCTGTGGTCGTGAATGTACCTCAGAGAGTCGAAAATAACTGCTAACATAGGTAGGTAGGAAGGGAACAACACCGCCAGTTATGACCTAAACTGGTTAATAATGTCCTTCCAATGATTACTCAGTTTGTACCCATCTTCTCGTTTGAAATTGTGTCTGTTTTTATATATCTGGATGGCTTCATGGACAAATCTTTGCTGATAGCCAGTGGGTTTGCAGAGCACCGTCGTCTTGGCAAAATCTATTTAGTGTATGCCCACAGCGTTAAAATAATGATCAGCCACAGCTGAGGTATTGGTCCTATCGTGTTTCAGATCTGCCTTATGTTCACGAACCCGGTCCGAGACATGTCGCTTAGTTTCCCCAATGCAATTGCTGCCGCAGGCACAGCTTAGTTTGTAGCCGCCGGGGTATTTTAGATCTGATCCCACAGATAGGATCATATCACAAATGTTATGTACTGTGTTAAATCGAACATGGAGCTTGTGTTTGCTCATGATTTTGGAAAAAAAAATAGATGACCCCTGCTATGTATGGCAAGGTGATGGTTTTGATTTGGTCCTGAGATGGTTCTTTCCCAACGGTTGGGGTGATAGCTTTACGGATTGTGTAGTCTGAATATCCATTCATCTTGACTTGGTGTACGTGTTCCAGTTTAGTGGCTAGGTGGTGATGGTCTGAAAAACAACAAGCTCTATGGTATAGAGCTCTATGGTATACTATCATCATTAGATACTGCTGTAGAGTCAGTATTTACTACTATAAAGTCGACAGATACTACTATACAGTTAGTAGTTACAACTATAGACTCGGTAGATACTACTGTTGAGTCAGTAGACACTACTGTAGGGTCAAAAGATACGACTATACAGTCAGTAGATACTACTGTAGAGCCAGCTACTATTGTAGAGCCAGATACTACTATAGAGTCACTCGATACTACTCACTCTATTGTATGTAGGGTGTGTAGGTTTCTATGCCTATGGAGGGGTAAACATATTTTTTGAGGTCGACAATTTTCAGTAACCTTATAGATCAACTATTTACCTGCCACTTTCTATTACTTTTGGATTCAGGACTTCAAGCCTTTCATAATTTTGTTGATGGACAAATGGACAAACAGAACACTGGGCTTTCACAACAGCTTAGTACTTGTGTATGTTTATGTTATGTTTTTAAGAGAAGTTTTGAAATAGATTGTATCCCCGGGCAACGCCAGGTACTTCCCGCTAATATTATATAAACAAAACATCCACCATTCATGATGAATTGCAAGTAACCTTATCACATTGCTCATGCCATGATCGGTGCAATTTAAGGCCATTTAAGTGTGGATTCCTCAGCAGGTAATGGGAATGATGCAGGTGTCAAGGGATGACTGACAGATGAACCAGCTGTGCTCCCCACTGTCTGGCTGGGTTTTAGGAACCCAGCGTTCCACCTATTTATGTGGGCGTCGCTCTTCCAACCTCATTGTTGTTGCAGAGCAAATATCTATTAACTGCCCTGCAGCATACCTCATGGGCCTCCTCCACAGAGGCCGATCTACACGCCTGGCACCAGTCATTCAAATGCAAATCAATATATAACATTTTTGACATGCGTTTTTCTGGATTTTGTTGTTGTTATTCTGTCTCTCACTGTTCAAATAAACCTACCATTAAAATTATAGACTGATCATTTATTTGTCAGTGGGAAAACGTACAAAATCAGCAGGGGATCAAATACTTTTTTCCCTCACTGTATATGCGGGAAAATACAGTAATCCCGACATCTGGCTACATGCCCACATTTAAAGTGCAGGGCCAGGTACACAATCGCATTAGCAGTCTGCTGCCACTACCTAATAACCTACCTACATTACCACAGATCCACTTGCATGTTTGACAGTACTAGACAGGCTCACCAGCATTGCTAATATGTCATCAACACCAAGACGCAAGTCCTATTGCTGTGGCAAGACATGCTCTACAAGTAACACTCTTATGTTCACAGTTTCAAGTGCGCCATGGAGAAGATTACTTCAGAGTACAATGTTGTCATTCATGCCGACTAAACTCCACATGGTCAACATGAGTGCTGCTTAAATGCACTCACAACATCTCAAGTCGCTGTCATTCTGACATCTGAACAACATGTCACTCGAGGCATCGTCTTGCAACTGAAGAGCAATACCCTACACAGAAATGAAACACACCGATCCAATGATGCTCTTCAATGTGTACTGATTTTCTGGCAAGGTGATGATGGCTAAAATTTCCTACTTCGCCAAACTGACCCAGCAACAGGCTTGCCAACACAAAAAAATATTTCCACCAGGGACTTCTTTGCCTTCAGGATCATGGTGCGAAACGGCAGTTTCAATCTCTTCTTGAGATGCAAAGAGCTCATCCACCAATTTGCTGTCGACACCTATGCCAAAATTGAAGCTTCATTCGATTAAACCCACCAGATGGCAAAACATCCATCATTGTCTATCCTTAAGCTCTCCAAGGGCAACGAATTTAAAAGCTGTCATTTATGAAACAAATAAGCCCTGCGTTTATATAACACAACCAAAAAACCGTGACAATATACACACATTTACAAACTTCATTGGCAGAATTCAATCATTCTAATAAAGCCAGCATGGCAAGACATTACTCGTAATGATTGATTACTGAGACCCTATGCAAAGCCAGGTAACTTAGCAAGTATTGAATAAATACTATAATTTCGATGATAATGTTTGTTCATGAGTGGGGAGCAGTAGTGCAATGGTTAGCGTGCTGCGCCATAAACCCAACGACCCGATTTAACTTCCCACAGAGCCAAGCCACAACATTTGGCTGTCGCCTGATGAAGCTGGTTGTAATTACTGGCAAACGTCCTATTCAGATTGTAAATATTGTTGCTTGGCTCTGTAACACACAACCGGTGTAGTGCTGTACTCGTGACGAATTGGCCACAGTCTGTTTACGTGACCTTACTAGTTGCCTGTGTCGGGTTTACCGACACATTTATATATTTGTAATTTGCGTCTCTCTCCCCGTGGTCGCGTGGATTTTCCTCCGGATCCTCAGGGTTTTCCCCTCCACATTTAGAGTCAACATCACCACGCGTTTAGAGTATTTGACCGACAGACATTTACACACGTTGATAAGCCACTTTGCTGTGGGCAGGTCGCTTCTGAAAACAAGAGCGGTATAGCAGCTGAAGTGGGCTTGGCCTGGTAGAATAATAAAAATTTTTGTAGAAATACTTAAAAGAAACAAAGTTTCAAAGTAGTGAGCCAGATGAAGACAAATTAAACTTAAGCAGAGAATTAAAGCAAATGCAATCAGGTGAGGGCAGGAGGCAAGGCCCCGCGTTGTAATGTTCCAACCTGGAAATCGATTCCATACTCGCTGCTACTCAATTGATATCCCTACGAGAGAGGAGCGAGGCTCTACCTGAGTAAACAACAACAACAACCACGATGTGAACTTCTCACCTCGGATCTCAGTGAGAGCGCGCGCGGATCGGCAGCTTCCTGGTATCCGTGACGTCACGCGGCAGCAGGAGATGACATGACGTCACTAGCGGGGTACAACACAAGTTCAAGTTCATGTATTAGGTATAGCCCTGTGAGCCATTCGGCTCTTGAATCGGGTGCAACCGCAACAAAACAAAAACAGGAACAAGAAAACATCTTAAAGTAAATATGTGACTAAGTACAAACAGAAAATCCAAGAAAATATAGCAAAATATTGCAGAAAAAAGAAATCACCGTACACCAACGCTGTGTGCAAAAATTCCAGTGGGATACAAGTCAAACAACAACCACAAGACAACTTAGATTAAGGCCATTAGTCTTACTCTGTACTACAACAAACAAACATGGCTAAACCAATAAACTTTTCGAAATCACCAAAATAAAGCCATGAAAGCAATGAAACAGTGATCATAGGAACTGTGACAGAATTTTCACAATATATGACAAACAACATGTACTACCAAAACCCTGCAGCCATAGCTGGCTGCATGAGTCACTCCACAACAGCAGGAGCATCAATCGGAGTATTACAATTTTTCAATGCACCTTGAAGATCAGCACACTAAATCAAAACACAGGTCATACTTTGCAGCGATCATCCGGAGCGAAACATTTGATTTTAGGCCACTGAATAGCACTGGCAGCTCGGGGTGTACAACTCCACAATAGATTTGAAGCTTTGGTGACTGCAAGGATTCATACTCTTTGGTTTTTCCGGTAAAGTCACGTAGGTAAGAAATAAAACAAATGAAAACAACTAAATTAAATTAAAATAAAACAGTCTGCATCAGCAGCAGGCCATGCTTTTCCACCTGATGAAGGACGCTTGTGTTGCGCCCGAAACGTCATGATTTAGTTTAGTTTTCATTTTTTTTTATCTACGTGACTTTACCGAAAAAACAACGAGTACAACACACTCCCCTACCCAATGTGCGGCGGTTTTAACTTAATAAATTATGTTAATGACCTAGGCCCATATGTGAGTGAACTCGCGGTGGAGGGGGGTTGGAGGGGAGGGGGGTTGGAGGGGAGGGGGGTTGGAGGGGAGGGGGGATGTAGGGGAGGGGGGTTGGAGGGGAGGGGGGTTGGAGGGGAGGGGGGTTGGAGGGGAGGGGGGTTGGAGGGGAGGGTGAATACCTTGGCGACATGACGTCACTAGCGAGGTCCACCTCCCTCGGCCGTCTGCGTCTCACACCGATGAGGTAATGCGGAGTTGTGACGTCAGAGAGTGTTGGTTTGAGTTTATTTAGATTCCTTTTCCATTGCTCCCTCTCTCTTGAATAGAGACCCCTTGGGTGCGTGAGCTCAACAACCACATGAACACTATTGTGTGTCAACACATGGCATTCTATGGGTCTTTCGGTAAAGCCAAGCAGATAGAAAAATAATTTTAAAAAATAATTTAAAAATTATCACGACGTTTTGATGGCAACACAAGCGATCGTTTTCAGGTGTAAAAAAATACAGCGAGAGCGCTTCTGAAGTCGGACGTGAAATAGGCCTGAGATGGGTGCAGCCCAAGGGTAAGTGGACGGGGCTAGAGACGGTATTTGCATGTAAATGTAAGATTGGAGGGCGCCCTGAGGCCGTGGCTTTATCGAAAGACCCATATAATGTATTCCTGCTGTCACGACAACTTTAAGTCAAGATTTATATAAATTTTAACTCTAAACCCGCTCTCTGACGTCACCACTGCATTGCGTCATCGGCGTCAGACGCGAGGGGCAGCTGTGGCCCGCTAGTGACGTCATGTCACCTCCCGCTGTTGCGTGACGTCTCGAGACACCAGGAAGCTGCCAATCTGCGCGCGCGCTCACTGAGATCCGAGGTGAGAAGTTCACATCGTGGTGGTTGTTGTTGTTGTTGTTTACCCAGGTAGAGCCTCCCTCCTTCTCTCTCGTAGGGATATCAATTGACGAGCAGCGAGTACGGAATCGATGTCCAGGTTGGAACATTACAACGCGGGGCCTACCCATGCGTGGCCTTGCCTCCTGCCCTCGCCTGATTGCATTTGCTTTAATTCTCTGCTTAAGTTTAATTTGTTTTCACCTGGCTCACTACCTTTAAACTTTGTTTCTTTTTAATGTTTCTACAGTTTTTTTTTCTTACCAGGCCAAGCCCACTTCAGCTGCTATACTTCTCTTTTTCAGAAGTGACCAGCCCACAACAAAGTGGCTTATCAACGTGTGGAAATGTCTGTCGGTCAAATACTCTAAACGCGTGGTGATGTTGACTCTAAATGTGTCGGTAAACCCGACAGCCAATTAGTAAGGGTTTGTCACGTAAACAGCACGTGGCCAATTCGTCACTAGTGCAGCACTACGCCGGTTGTGTGTTGGAGAGCCAAGCCACAACATTTACAATCTGAGTACGACGTTTGTGCCTTGGCTCTGTGGGAAGATGAATCGGATCACTGGGATTATAGCTCAGCATGCGAACCGTTGCACTACCACTCCCCATTCATGCACAAACATCGAAATTATAGTATTTATTCAATACTAGCTAAGTTACCTGGTTTTGCATAGGGTCTCAATAATCAAACATTAAGAGTAATGTATTGCTATGCTGGCTTTATTAGAATTATTTAGTTCTGCCAATGAAGTCTGTAAATGTGTGTATATTGTTTCTTGATTTTAAGCTTTCATGACTCTCAGGAATCCATACTCTTTGGTTCTTTCGGTAAAGTCACGTAGGTAGAAAAAGAATAGATCACTTTTATTTTTCACTACGTGAATTTACAGAAAGAACCAAAGAGTGTGTATATTGTCATGTTTTTTTGGTTGTGTTATACAATCGCAGGCCTTATTTGTTTCATAATGAGGACAGCTTTTAAATGCATTGCCCTTGGAGAGCTTCAGGGATAGACAATGTTGGATGTTTTGCCATCTGGTAGGTTTCATCGAATAAAGCTTCAATTTTCGCATGCTAATCGATAGCAAATTGGTGGAAGAGCTCTTTGCATCTCAAGACGAGATTAAAGCTGCCGTTTCGCACCATGATCCTGAAGACAAAGAAGTCCATGGCGGAAATCGTATTTTGTGTTGCCAAGCCTGTTGCTGGGTCAGTTTGGCGAAGTAGGAAATTGTAGCCATCATCACCTTGCCAAAAAATCAGTCGACATTGAAGAGCATCATTGGATCGGTGTGTTTCATTTCTGTGTAAGGTATTGCTCCTCAGTTGCAAGACGATGCCTCGAGTGACATGTTGTTCAGCTGTCAGAATGACAGCGACTTCAGATGTTGTGAGTGCATTTAAGCGGCACTCATGTTGACCATGTGGCGTTTACTCGGCATGAATGACAACATTGTACTCTGAAGTCATCTTCTCCATGGCAAACTTGAAACTGTCACCTTAAGATTGTGAACATCAGAGTTTTTCTTATGGATCATGATTTGCCACAGCAATACGACTTGCATCTTGGTGTTGATGACATTTTAGCGATGCTGGTGATCCTGTCTAGAACTGTCAGACATGCAGGTAGATCTGTGGTAATGTAGGTAGGTCATTAGGTAGTGGCAGCAGACTGCTAATGCGATTATGTACCTGGCCCTGCACTTTAAATATGGGCATGTAGCCAGATGTCGGGATGAATTGGTTTGTACCTGAAACATGTAATTTGGAAGCATGAGTTCTATCTTATGTTGTTGTTTCGGAATTGGCTTGCATAGGTAGTGTTTCCAGGTATCAATACATGAATAGGCTTGGGATGGTCATTAATTGGTACAGTTACAGCATAGCCCTGGAGGGTCTCCGTTTCATGTTATTGCATGGCAGTAGCTGCAAGAAGTAAACATGGAACCAATGGCAACTACTGAATCAGAAGTGTAAATGAAGTGAGGAATGTGAGGAAAGGAAAGACTTTTCCTTTTGGCAGCAGGATAAGCACCTGGTTGCAGCCATTGTTGTGCTGTTTGCAAGCTGCCTTGCTTGTTGGTTGACTGGAGTTTGATTAGCTGTGGCAGCAGCCATTTGTGTTGTGTTGGTTTTCTGTGAAGCTCATTGCTGTTGAGGAGTTGCATTTGCTGTTGGTGCAGGCATAGCAGCACTGGCAGCATGCCGTCTTGCTTCTTGGTGTTCAGGAGTGTGATTATCAATATGTGCAGCCATCACAGCCCTGGCAACATGCTCTTGTTTCTTAGTGTTCAGGAGATTCATTAGCTGTAGGTGCAGCACAGGCAGCATGCTGTCTAACTTTGTGTTAAGGAGTTTCATTAGCTCTAGATTTGAAGCTTTCGTGACTGCAAGGATTCATACTCTTTGTTTTTTTCGGTAAAGTCACGTAGGTTAAAAGAAAACAAATAAATCACGACGTTTCGGAGGCAACACAAGCTTCCGTCTTTAGGTGAAACCGTCACAGCAAAATTTCTGTATCAAGTGTTTCACCTGAAGACGAAAGCTTGTGTTGCCTCCGAAACGTCGTGATTTAATTTATTTGTTTTCTTTTAACCTACGTGACTTTACCGAAAAAACCAAAGAGTATGAGTTTCATTAGCTCTAGGTCCAGCCATTGCAACACTTGTGCGAATCGCATCAATTATTGTAATCGGCTTTGATGAAGAGAAGTGCATGTTTTTTGCGAGGAACATTATAGGTGGAGGTCAAAGTTAATAAGCATAAAAAAAGAGTAAATAGTGAGTGTCTGAGTGAATGCTATTTGGAGATTGTTAGGGAAATTATAGTTTAATGTGTAATCGTTGTAGGAATGTGGAGACATAAGCCGCAAAGGAACGAAGTAATTGTTTGTAGTGCTTGGTGTGGCTATTAATAGTATGTGTGTGGTGGTGTGTTTACATATATATTTATTTTAATGCCAGTGCGTGTATTTGCATGATTTTTATTCCTTGCCAGGCGATATAGACTTGATGTATTTTAGTCATAGCTGTTGTATAGCATCTATGTTATGTAGAAGGAGGTCGGTAGTGTTGGTACGTAGATGTAAATATTTTAGAATAGGACATGTTTTTAAAATAAATATTGCAGTGTGTTGGAGGTGAGCCGTGCACGTGCAGAGAGGATAGTAAGAAACCGGAAATGGATGAATTTGGTGGCAAAAGCGCAGGACTGATAATATGGAAGGATAACGTGGTAAATATGAGAACAAATATTGTCGTGCAGTGAAGACACCTTGTTATGGGGAGTGCGTAGAATGATAGTACAGTATATGAAATGTCATAATGTGTTTGCATGTGTGGCAAACCGGAAGTAGTGAGAATGCCTCGGGCTTTAACACATGGCAAGAGAAAGAGAGGGGCGAAGTGAGGAGCAGGGTGGGTGCAGGTGGTACAGGTGTTGGAAGGTGAGCAGGTAAGATAAAAGTAGTGAGAAAAACACACTAAGTCATCCGTGAGTACGCGTGGAAAGTTTGGGTTGTGTTGGTCCAAATTTTGTTCACAAAAAATCTACACAAGCACAAAGTCTGCTTTATCTTCATAGATATATACTATTTTTTATCTTGGAATATTTTTTGTATACAGTTTATCCGTGTTTATTTCAATAGTTTAGTTTATTTGGAATACAGTACAGTACTTATTTCAATTTTAATGTCAATTTTAGTTTACGTTTACCTAACGCCATTACTTAGGTAAGGCTTAAGTATTGAATATGACACTTTTAGCTTTCGCGTGGCAATTTCCAAGAACATAACTCCGCGATATGCAAGGGGCTGCTGTAATTTGTGTCTATTAACTACAGCAGAGGCATATGGATTTTCAACAGAAACTACATCTCTGCATTCTTTATTTAATAAAGGCCTATCTTATTCTTATTTTCTTTTTTCTTTTATATATAAAAGTCTTCGCGTGCTCGCGCTTGCGGGGGATTTGGCTCTCGGACGGTGGGCTGAATGTAGAAAAAAATTTGACAGGCGGCACGCCCTAAGCCCCGTGGTGGGAATAGGCTATTCCGTTTTTCAATCCGTAAACTTTAAAGTAGTTTAATTAACACATTTGTGCCGTTTCTATGATTAATTATTTACTTATTGCGCCACATCGACCGTACCAAGTGACGCTAATTGCATAGGGGGGGGGGTGGACCCTGTCAAGTGGTGCGCGTTCACTCGAGCTCACGGGGACATTTTATTTTACGCGTTTAACAAGGAATAGATATACACATCACGCTGCCGATTTCTCTTCACAGTGTGATGTCCTCTTCCCCCCGCCACCCCCAATGTGTGCAGTTACTGATATAAAGTCCTTAGATATTAATTTAATGTTATTAAAGCGGTTACATAGTATTATTCTGGCTTGCCAATCTGGCGAGGCCGCGGGCTCTGCACGGGACGAGGCGTTACTACGCCAATGTAAAGTACTATTTTATTCAATCTTTCGCTAAGAACTCAGGTTTATTGCTTTGTATTATTAAACAAATACATTTACAAATATTACAATGATAATGTTTGTGTACACATAACAACTCGGCTTCATTCTTTACTATTATTAAACGAATAAGTTGCTTAATACTCTATTACTATTATAATGTTCGTGTGCAGAAACTACATGCGTGTGCCTAAAGTCGATGTCTGTGTGTGTGAGTCCATTTGTGTTTGTGTGCGTGTAAGTCGATGGGTTCTACTTGTGTGGGTCCATGTCTGTGTGTAAGTCCATGTGTGTGTCTGTCTTTTTCAAACGGACAACGCCCCGTGTGTGTGTACGTACAATTGTTTGTGTGTGTCAGTCCATTTGTGTGCGTATCTGTCGCTGTGTGTGTTTTAGTCCACATGTGTGTGTAAGTCCATACGTGTGTGTTTCACTCTGTGTGTGTGTGTAAGTCAATGCGTGTGTGTGAGTCGATGTGTGTGCATGGCTCCATCTGAGTGTGTAAGTCGATGTG